AAAGAGAGAGCATTCCCCTCAAATCGCACTATCTCTCTCAGTCGTATTCTGCCAACTTTCGGCTTCACCTCCTCCACATCAAAGGCATAGGAATGCTCGGTCTATTATATATGTCGTTGCTTGCCTCTGATTGAGGGTCTCTAGCGATGTGGTGGTTTCAGCGCCTTTGGAAAATGGACATTGAACTACTAATAAACCAATGAGAAGCACGCTTTCCGTGCTTCTATTGGTCTCTCTAGTTGATAGTTCAATGTCCACTTTCCAGAGGAGCTGAAATCAGCTCATCGCCGGTCCCAGCTAAATTGCAGACATGGTCGCTCTCAGGATCTTCTCTGTCTATGGTCTATGGAATTTCCTAACCAAAAATATGTCGCCAGGAATAGGATTGGTAGGAGTCACGATAGAGACCTCTGTTGGAAACGAATTTTTCTTATCCTAAATTACGGCTAAAATATTGATAAAATTGCAATTGCGATATTCGTAATCAGAAGAATTACCTGCATCTCTCTACAAAATGATTTTTGGAAAAAATGAGCAATAAAAATTTATTCCGATATCTGCACTATTGTGCACTAAGGTATCAATAATCTTATTTATTACATTGTTTTAAAGAACAAATTGCAAAATCTGACTTTGTAGCAAGTTTTGCAGCTTCGTAAAACATGAGCTAGAAAAAGGAAAAATTATATTGCTTCTAATACAAAATATGATTCAATTTGATTTTATTTACACCGCGAATAAATCGAGCAGATATTTTTACTTATTATATAATGCTTTTAATAATGAAATTGCAAGATTCAGCTCTTTAGTAGCTTTCGTACCTTCATAAGAAATAACTTAAAAAAGTCTCATGATCTAAAATATTTCTTCTACGAAACAAAATACGATAGAGTGCAGATATTATCTTCACTGCAAATGAGGTGTAAATGTGGTAGCTTGTTGCTCCTGCCGACCCTTAACCAAATAGATATGTTAAATGTTTAAGCTGTTAAGTGCTGTACTAACTGTTTTAGTGTCGAGCAATAATTTTAATTTTGAAATTTTTATTCTTCATAAAAGAACATTGAATAAATACCTTTTCATCAAAATTTATATAGAATTACACCTTAAATATTTAATCTATATTCTTGATTAAAACAATTAAAAATACTCACTGTATCAATTGAACTTTCAATGGAAATTGTACAAAATTTGCCTTGCGTTTGTGAAAAACAGCCTTCTGATGTATGACATGTATATATGCGTATATGTCACTCTTTTAATACACTTCCAAATAAATGAAAATATTTCGTGTGTTCAATTCAAAGCAAAAAAGAGAATAGAAGACAGAATACATGTGCTCATAGAATACATCCTACCAGATCACGTGACAAGTGCCAATTAAAGTCGTGCTAAAGTATCATACGATCTAATAGGCTGCATTCCGCTCATGAGTCACGCACTGTAAGCATGATTTGTCCTACTTGTTTAATGTTTGATAAATAATAAAAATAAAATTATTAGAATGAGCGCTGTAAACGCCAAAAGCGTGAATATGGAATACAACTTTAGTTTAGAAAAAAATAGTTTTTTTCAAAATAAAAATTTAAGTTAATTTGTATAATCCTTGCTAATATTATTAGATGTATTAAATTTTTTAAATATTTAAATTTATTGGTGCTCTAAAAATCAGATTATATTACAACCTAATGTAATTGATGAAAATATGTAAAACAATATATCCTGGCTGAGATAATATTTTTCGTAATATAAGTCCTTTTCAATATTTTAAGATAAGCCAAATTTGTACGAGATCGATAAAGCAGTCTGCTCAATTCATGACAATATTTGATTGATATGAAAATTTTACAGTTTATATATGCAAATTTGAAGGTATGCCACCCTGTGGACAACACAAAAGAACACTGAATTGTTAGAACTAGGATAAAAGCCTATAAAAAAAGGTATTTACTTTTAAAGATTTCATGTAGATAAGCAAATCTACATGAAATCTTTAAAAGTGAATAACTTTTTTATAGGCTTTTATCCTAGTTCGAACAATTCAATGTTCTTTTTTGTTGTCCGCAGGGTGGCATACTTTCGGTTTGCACATATAAACTGTAGAATTTTTATATTAATCAAAAGTTGTCATGAAATTGAGCAGACTGCTTTATCGACCTCATACAAATTTGGCCGACCTTTGAAAATCCTCTTAATCTTTGTAAATCATATTTCTTTTAGCACTACGATCCATTGCTCCACTTTTTACACTAACTTCATCACACATATATGTAGAATAAAAATTATACACGTGAGTAATAATTTTATTTATACACTTGTGCTAGGAGAAAGAAGAAGGAAATAAGGAAAAATTTTAAATAGAGAAGTTTATTTGTTTGTTTCATGATGAGTAACGAATATGTTTATACTTAATGATCATGTCAGAAACTACGTTTATATATTTTCTTACTTGGTATCTATATATAGTAGCGATAATTTTTTAAATAATATTTGGAACTTATGAAGCTTGTAATGAATTTAATTAATTTGTAGAATCAAGGATCTATCGTACTAATAAACTATAAAGAACTAAGCTAATGTTTATAAATACTGCTTTTTATATATATTTATAAATTATAATTGTTATAACATATATAAAATTATATGTTACAAGAGTTAAAAGCATTTCATTTTACACTTGATGTTTTTCTTTTTTTTCTTAATATGACAGTAGCTTTTCAAGATATATTCCATATATAACGTAAACGGTATTAAAAAGACAAGTACAAGATTACACAAATTAATAACTGCTTTAATAATATTATAATATTATAATAAAATAATATCAACTCAAATAATATAATTAAATATTTCATACATATACAATTATCGCATTCATAACTTTCGTGTACCATTATTAGGGATTGTGAATGTTCTATAATAGCAAAGATTTTATGTAAGTAGATGAGTCCTCTGTATGTAATCATCTAATTAATATAACAAAAAAAAGAAAGAAAATTAATAATAAAGGAGAAAATAAATGTTTTTGATTTCACCATATTAATTAATTTGGATTTTACTGATAGAATTTTGTTTATCTCATTGATTGTCTCTAATAACTTTGTATTTTTACTTGAAATACTAGCATGTATATACTATTCTAAGATTTAATCATACCTTCCTGTTCATTATTTCGTAATAATGTTAAGAGCAAGGGAATTGTAAACAAATGCACGAATAAGTAATTTAAGTTCATTTAAGAGGCTGTTTCTTAATAAAATTATTTTAATTCAATGAGGCAGATGGAACTGTAGAAAACTTGTTATAACTTCAAAAATATATGCAATTAGAAAAAAATGAAAATAATTGTCAATATTAATCGTTATTTATTCAGTCAGTGCAGAAACAGATAAAGCATATCTTCCGAAGCAGGAGACAAAATTATGCGCGGTATTTATATTTATAAATTATTCAAATAATTTACATATTATAAGCAAAATAACCTTTGGTTATTTTGCTTATAATATCCGTATCTCAATAAACTTTTTCGATCTAACAATAAGAAAAAGTTTCTGCTTTAAAAAATTTCATATTTCTAATTTTATTTAAAATAGAATTTAATAAAAAAAATGTGTATGAATCTCAAACTTATATCAATAGCATAAATATATATTTAGTTGTTTCATGTTCCAACGAAATATTTTGTTTTAATTTCAGACTATATTTTGTAAATAGGTTTTTATCAAATTTTATTGATGGAAAATCATTTTTATATATGAATATAAAATGCTATTGTTTATATATATATTTCCTTGCTTTTAACAAATGAATCACTATCATAAACTTTAAAATACCTTCCTGCATTCAGAATAATCTTTTTTCTACATAAAGGAACAATAAATGTTATTTGAATGAATGCATGTAATTATTGCAAAAAGATAATTTTTTTACTTTAATATAACATTAAATTTATTCATATAAAGGATATCAGAAAAAAAAATATATATATATATTATATATACAGGGTGTTCATTCATAAAGTATCGGACCCCCCCTCCATCTCAGAAAATACTAACTGGATAAAAAAACTTTAAATACAAAACTTTTAGGAAATCCAGTTAGTATTTTCTGAGATAGAGGGGGGGTTCGATACTTTATGAACACCCTGTATATATATAGGTATATATATATAATATTTCATGATTTAATTAAATTACTAAAAGTTAAAATTTTAATGTAGATTTAACTCTTTATCAAGTGTTTTTAGATTTGTAAACTTTCAACATTTTAACTTTATTTTTCAAATTCTTGCATATTTTTAGATTTCAATTATTCGAATTCTACAATTATTTACATTTTAGAATCCACAAATATTTTTGAATTGTAAAAATTCAGTTATTTTTCAGTTATTTTATAAAATTATTTATTCTAACGAACAAAAACTTTAAAAAGTTGAAAATTTTCATTTAAAAGTTTTTAAAATCTTAAAAAAGGTCGGAAGAAAAAAATTATGAAAAGTTTATATAATATTTTTAAGATGCTTTTGTTTTAAGATCCTATATAAAAAAGCCATTAGTTGTCACATATATACATATTTGTTGTGAATATGTCTAAATGTGTATATGTATGTTACACATAAAAAATTTATTTTAAGTACATAAACTACTGTCTATTTCATTAAAAAATCATGTTTGTAGTCTGAGATTCTTGAATTCCCATATTCCAAGATTCTTGTATTTTTGAATCATGAAATTACTAAATTTTTAGAGAAAGTAGAATCCATAAAATTTCGAATTCATAGAATCTTAGATACTGGAATAATTTGTAAATATTTTAATGCTTAGATTAACGAAGCCCTTGAATTTTGGAAGCCATAAATTATGCAAAATTGAATCCGCAGATCCGTAGGTTTTTCCCATGGATTATACATAACAAGTTCTAATCGTATAATTATCCTAAAGTATTTTCCCATTGATTACTTTTACAAATATTCCAAATATTAGATGTGGAAATATATATCATTATCATTTGTAAACAGTAGCTATTGAATGCACGATTTTATGAAGATATAAGAACAGCACTTTTTTACTTTTTGCATTTTCTTCTTTAAAATCTCACAAAGGCGCATCTTTTTATATTTCTAATGTAAGATAAATTCAAACTGATTTTTCTTTAATTATGTTATTATTTTTGAAATAGTTGGAACTCAGATTTATATGTACATACTGCATTAATATAGGCTGAAAACTTTAAAGAAATTAACAATAGCTAATTAATAATAATTACATTAAAATAAAATTTTTTACAAATTTTCTTACTTTTTTTCTTTCCTATTTTACTATTTATTTTTGCGTGTAAATTTCTTTTAAGTAAGAATAATGATATTAGTAGTATTTATATAGGACTCGGTTTGCAACGATGTACAATGCAATGATGTACAAAAAATTGCATTTGAGAGATTAGTGCAAATTATGTAAATCCATTTACATAAAATCTTTGGTAAAGGCATTAATTATTGATCCATCTTTTGATAAATACAGGAATAAGACAAAAATTAGCTGTTTTATTGTAATATAAATACTTTGAAAAAATTTAACAAAAACATAAATTACGATTAATATTGAACATCTTAATTACTCAATATTTATTATTAAAAAAGTCGACATTATTTACGAAATATATCTAATAATTAAATTATTTGTTATAATTAATAACAATATTACTTATTATATTACACTAATTTAATAAGTTGCGAATATATTGTCTGATATATATCAGCAAGCGATTTTTTTCATGCGACTATATTGACAATTTTTTCTATTAATAATTCACAAATTTGGTTGGAATCAGATAGCACAAAAAGAAGCAACATAGACTTTTTCATTTTGCAAAGAAACATCATGGTAAAAAAATATCATGGGGAAATATGGATAATTTATGAACATAAAAAATCTCTAGATATATCCCATATTTCATAAAATAATACATTAAATCTTCAATAATTAAAAAAAGATAGCATGTATGTAATCTATGTTATCATTAAAATTATAGGGTAAATAAAACAGCTAACAACTTTTGCTCCTTTCTCCTGTATGTCTACGATATTATCGTCCAAGATAAAGAATTATACGCAATACGCTTTGCATGTTATGCATCGTCCATTTTTTGAATTCTTTTTACGAATAATTTTGATTTCTCCCGTTTTACGAAAGCGTTTCAGCACCGCTCGTGAAATGCATCGCATCAAGATATAATCGAAAGAAGTTTTTCAGCTGTGTCTCAACCAACACTGTCACCCATCACTTCAGTTTCTGCCTTCAGTTCAAGATTTTCCACATCCCTGCCATCAGCAGCTGTTTCTTCGTGTACATCAATAAATTCCTGCTAATATATAAAATATGTTATAACATGGACTGTAGATAAAGGAGCATAAAACTAGTTAAAGTGTTAACAAAACTATAGTCAAGTATTTTGCTTAATCCGATGTATCTTGTCAAAATTACTTGGTTTGCACACTGTCTTTTACTTCCGTAAGCTTTCGTATGTTTTCAATTTAACATAAGATACATGGTTCTCTTTGGCAGCCAAATTGAATTATAAAATCGGAATAAATAATTTATATACATTTTAGTATTCAGAATGTTTCAAAGAAGACATATTATGACGCTTTCTTTAATGAAATTAAAATCGATTTTTCTTTAACAAAAATATTAATTAGTTTCAGCTTATAATTAAAAAAAAATTTTCGAATATTAAACTTCAAGAAACTAAATTAATAGAACAAGATTATATTAATTCTTTTGTTAATTTTAGATGAAAATTGATTTTAATAAAATTTTAAGTTAAGCTTTTAATATACATGCATACGCGCGCGCGCGTGTGTGTGTGTGTGTGTGTGTTAACTTCCTTCAATATTTTTGATTAAAAAAATCATTATCTTCAATTTATCAGAGATTTATCAATTAAAAAATTTGCTAATGAAAGTATTCATTTAGTAATTTTCAGTTTGTACAGTATATTTTATACATATATACTACTATATTCTTCTTACAAAACAATTAAATACATTAAAATATTTGTTAATTATTTATTAACGAATAATGTCTAATGTACAGTCAATATATATAAATTAAAAGATTTCTCTTACATCATGATGAGTAGAGTCATTGATGCTATTGTCTTGGCGCATATGGTCATCTATAAAGAGATTTAATATTAAATATTATTAAATAGAAATAATTTAAATCTCTCTTTTAAATATATTGTATCATTAAGGGAAGTTCCTAACTAAAAAATGCAAAAAATGGAAGCTTTAGCAATACATAAAGGAGTCCTAATACACAATGTAATAAGCTTTTTCTTGCTGCACAAACGAGCAAAATCAACTTCTGTGTGATCCATTTTTCGTTTTTATTTTATTATTTATACAAAAGGAAATAATTTACTTTGCTATTTTTGTTTATACATTTTTGTCATTCTTTAAACAGTTAATAAATGTTCTAATAGACATAAATCTTTTATATAAAATCTTATATAAAATGGAAAATACAATTTTCAAAAATTTATTTTATTCATTCAAGATGAATTTGAACAATAAAATATTGGATCATCCGGAAAGTTCTGCGGTTTTTACGAAAAGAGGTTCAAGTGGTCATGTACGGTACTTTTGTAATTTTTAACTTCTATGTCAGGTCTTGTACTTTAATGAGGATTTTCAGCGATAGCTTGCTCCAGTAGATTATCCATAGTGCAGGATTGCCCAGATCGAGCCTCGTTTTTGAGAGTGAAATCATCTTGTTGAAATTTTACAAACCACCTCTGAATTATATCATCAGAAACAGTCTTTGTTCGTAAACTTTACTACAAATTTTACGCGCTGTTTCGCATGTATTCTTGCCTTTTCCGAAGCAGAAAAGCATAATCCATTTCTAAAAAAGATGTGTTAAGTCGATGCTCGAATCTATCAAATTTATTGTTGTCGCTTTTCCGCAATGCTAATTGATTTTCTTGCTGCGCTTACTTTGTGAGCGGCTGTCATTGCATATTTTGACAGCTGTTATGTACAGAGGTTGATAATGTAATAGCAAATACATATAATAAGAAATAAAAAATATGAAATAGCGCACCTGTAATGCTAGTGTTATGAAAATATTGTTTCTGATTTTCTATAAGTCTATAGAATCGAATATACTGAAAATATGCCATATATTATGGATGTGTGTGTTGTTTAAACAAAAGACTGCTCTTTTTTATCAACCTGAAGTTTGGACTTTCTCATTCAGTATTAGCGCAAAATTCAAACTGGTATCCCTGCAGATGGAGAAAACCGCAGAACTTTCCGGATGACTCAATTGTTTATTACATATCCTCTAAGTATTGCCTTTATAATTTTTTGAATTTTTAAGTTGGAAATCTTTTCTTGTAATTTATAAATATATTAAAATAAATATAATTAAACAAAATAAAGTACCAACCAAGCATTGTTTGCGTGTGAGTTGTTGTGGTTATCATTTCCGAAAATTCACGACGTTGTACATCAGTGTCAAGCGCATGTATACGTTCCCTGCTTCTACGCAATTCCTTACGCAGCTTCTCTCGCTCGTCTTCTCTTTCTTTTGTAATCTCCTGCAATTTTTATTAAAATTCAATATAATTTTGAGGGAAATAATATTTATCTCAAACCGCATTATTTTGATTATATATACAGTAAATTACAGTTTGTCTCACATCTTAATTCAACTCGTTTTTTAACCTATCTTAGATGAAAGTTGACTATCTTTGATCAAAGTATGTACTTCGCTTTAATTTTTAACGAGAAAATCGTTGTACTCGTATAGTTTCTTAAGATCTAAACCTTTTCTTGCATTAGATTCAATTTAATATTAGTATTAATCATTACTACTGATGCAGACTGCATATAACATTCTTATATTTTATAACACTGAATTTAATTTATTCTCGTACGAGAAATGAAGAATCAATTATAGACTTCTTGTATGTACAATTTAACTCTCATATAATTTTTGTATCATCGACATTCTATTTGTTTTATTTAATTTATCGATTTTAACAGTGATTTTTATTTTATATTATGTGTTAAAAAACATTGTTATTATTGTGCAAAAACAAAAGACTAAGTTTGTACACAAACAGTAAAAAGAAAAAAATTGTTAGAAAAGAATAGATAATCTTCTTTCAATCAAACGTACAAAGTAATGGGAAAAATTTATAAAATGTTTAAAAGCTATTGTGTTATATGTCCATAACTTATTGACAATATTACATAAATATAAGTTTTAATCAACATATTTATAGACCAATCAATGATTTACAACAACGAAAGATTTGTACATCATTTCACTTATTTTAATCGTTGTGTGCACAATTTTTTTACTCATAAAGATATATACTTAATTACTTATCATATCTGATTTGACACATCTTCACTAAACTGACAATGAGAATAAAGTTGAAAAAAAAAGAAAAAAATATTTTGATATAGTTTCGAACATATGCAGAAGTTTATAAAAAGAGAGATTGATCATATTTTCAAAAATTATATAATCACTGCAAAGATTGTTATGATTATTTCTTTAGAAGGAATTTGAATATATAAATTGATCATAAATATGTAAAGTATGAAAGTAATATTTTTATTGAAATTTTTAAAACACAATGCTTCATTGCTTCATTGTTATTAGTATTCTTAATATTCTTGCATATAGATATATGAAAAAAGAATAAATTTTGTACATGTTATATAATTTTACATAATTTACAATTTTTATATAAAAATTATATGAACAACGACACTGCTGTATCGCATGTATAATGTATAATGATTTTCTAACAGCTAAAACTCTAATAACATGAATAATAGATTATTTTATGTTTCATCTTCATTTACTTAAAGCAAAGAGATTTAGTTGTTAATTTCGGGCTTTCATAAATGACATTTAGTGCATCTTTCTTGGCTAAGGAATTACCGAGAGCATTTCAAGAAATTACCGAATGTATTTAATTAACGTACATAATGCTTCGTTTTTGAAGTTATTATATTGCAAATGTAAAAAAATATATATTTTTTCAAATGTTAAAAATATTTTTTGAAATTATTTCTTTTGTAAAAATTAATTTTAATTGTAATAAAAATAAAATGTGAATTTATTTTAAAAAGAGTTTTTAACAAAGATTTTGGCACACAATATTAAAAGAAAAATACGATAGTGTCATACTTATATCTAATACAATTATTTCTGAAAATGTTATGTTTAGAAATTTTATTTATTGAAATGAAAACAATAATTAGCGTTAACACGAAAATAAACTTACTATAGTTGGAATAAAATTTTAGCTTATTTAAAAAATAGAGATAATCATAAAATCTATCGTTTTTTACTTTATCAGAGATAAATAATATAATCGGTTCTAATTTTACAGAATATTACAGTAATAAATAAAAAAACAAAGTAATAAAAATAAAAAATGTACACAAACAAAAAGATATTATAGGAGGATAGGATTTGACAGAAAATACAATTCTGAGTAAAATAGTTCTAATAAGTACAGAAAGTTCATAAACGATTTCTTATAAGTCAACAGTTCTGTTCCGGAGAACGCAAGAGTCAGACGTGTTGTCGTGTCTTCGCCTTTTGTAGTTGCGTCGTAATACAGAAGTCGCCACGATATACAAGTACAGTTCGTTAATCGCGTCATCAACCTCAGAAAATCTCCAAACGTCTCCCTTTAGTTATCTTGACATTTTCTCGAGGTTTTCCTGGTTTACCCGACTGTCTGACGGTTTGATTTGAAAATACTTTCCCCGTTTTACAGCCGGTCAGCTCTGAGCAGGAAGACCTGAAGAAAGATGCCGGGAAGGCGAACCGGTGGTCCTCGAGGAAATGTCAAGATAACTAAAGAAAGGCTTTTGGAGATTTTCTGGGGTTGATGGTGCAAATAACTGCACTATCGGTAGTATATCGTGGTGACTTCTTTATTACAACGCAACTACAAAAAGACGACACGTCTGACTCTTGTGCTCTCCGGAACAGTATTGTTGATTTCTTATAAATCATCAAATCCCAAGCTAATAATCTTTCATTTGAGATATTTTATAAAACAAATAATGGCTATGTTTACCAAGAGCTGTGACAGTTGTGAGAGTTGGGACGTGAGATAATGACAGATCGGCTGCATCATTCCCATCATAACTGATTGTTGAGGATGCAAGTGATTTCGTAGTGAAGGACAACCGGTAGCTTCACACGCAGGAGATGATAATGTCGATGATCCACGTGATGCAAATATTGTTTCTGTCTCGCTTATATTTAATGCAGAATTCAGCATTCCCATTAACTGATCAGCTGTGAACAAAATATAAATATGAGAGATTGTATTGTGCATGTAAATTTTTTTCCATAAATAATTGTAAGAAACAAGTATTATCAGTTTTTTGTGCGATTATCAGTAATAATATCACATTTAATAGTATAATATCAGTTGTTGGTTTTTAATAAAATTATACAACTGATTATATACAAAATATTTTTTTTCCATCTTTCTTTTAAATTAAATGAATAAAAATTTTTAATATTTCAGAGTATTTACTTAAAGCTTAAAAAAAAATTTCGTGAAAATTTCCTGATTTCCAGATATTTTTTTCAAATTTCTAAATATCGAATATCTTAATTTAGAATGTAAATTTAAAATAAATTCAAGTTTCCTACTATTGCTTTTTATATGTTATAATTATAGAGAAAAATCAAAAGCTTTTGTGTAAAGTATTAGAAAAAGGGATGGTAACTTTAAATAATAAAATAAGTAATAATTTTAAATAATAATTATATAATAAAAAAGTAGATAACTTTCATAAAAAAAATAATTAATATTAATGAAGGCTCAATAATTTGAAACAATAATTTAATACTTATAAAGGGCTATGAGCCGAAGCTAGGATGTATTTTCGCTCCAATATATGTATAACAATTAATCGTCAATAACAAATATAAGAAAACAAACGTTTTGACATCTATTGGATCAATGTTTAAAGAAATGCTTTGAGAAAAACGTTACATATTGTTACGCCCGTGCTTCGCGATGTCGGCCGAGCATAAGTTGCGCCGACTGAAATCGTCCGCGGAAGCGGACAAGAGATGG